ATTGTAATAAATTTTCTCAGAACTTCTAAACAGCAGTTTACTGGCCTACTTTGGATTATTATGTCTACTTTAAAGTAATTCATATTTTAGCCTTCGGATCTTCTTAACATTTTCTCCTGATCTGTAGCCATTTATGATGCCATTGTCCTACCTTGTTTTGTCAAATTTGGGTATTCTCCGGTCTCACTCTCATTTCACCATGTATAGGGTATCTAGTAGTTCTCAAAAGTATTACTACTCTTTCTCCCATTTTCTGAACTTGGGTCAGCTGGGCACTTTTTTTTTTGTCAAGGGCTATGCATCGTTGACATTTGATAGATGACTGGAGTTTTTAATGTCCTGAAAGGGACAAGTTGGTTCTTCACAAAATGTTACTCTCACCCCCAATTTGAATATTGAGGAATGTTGATAGAGTAAACCCAGTTTTTTGGGTCAAGTTACATGTTGTGTACCAGACATGCATGAAGGTTAGGTTGTCAGTATTGCAAAGCATTCTCTGGAGCATTTCATGGAATACCAATGACTTTAATTACTAGAGTTTAGACTTTATCTTGAAGAAAACATTTTATCTATCTGTCTGTCTATCATCTATCTGTCTAATCTTTGTGAGACAGTTTCAACAGCTCTGACCAGCCTCAAACTTCCAGAGAGCTATCAGCCTCTGCTTCCCTGGGGTTAAAGTCATACACCACTATGCCTGGCTAGGCTTTATTTTTGTTGCTTGAGAATTTCAGATGCAAATAATGTTTTTTTTTTTTATCAAATACACACCCTGAGTATGTTCTGTAGCTTTTTGAACTTGAGTGTATTTAGTATGAAAATGCTGGGTGGAGGGTCCATATTTCTTAGTCCTGGGCATAGAACTCAGGACTGCACATGGTAAGGGCTATACCCTCAGCTCTTTCTTTTGTACAGGATGGTTCAGATAACTGCACATTGGAAATTCTCAGGGAGTTTTTTAAAAATATTGGTTTCTGGGTCCCACACTCAGGTTTTTATTTAATTGGTCAAGCAGATGGCATTGGGATTTTTAATCATTCTCCAGGTGATTATAATGTGCACTTAGGATTCAACACCACTGAACTAGATGGTTTCTAAGCTATGTAGAGATAGAATAATAATGATTGTGAATTTAGCCAATTGAAAATGAATTTCATTTACCTGCACAAACATCTGTTGAGCACCTAAGATCAAGATAAAGATAAGTAAGCCACCACCAGAGCTCAGAGCTCTGGCTTTCAGTTTTCCATTAAACCCTGATTCTTGTAAAAGGGGACTATTCATCCCCATTGTCCCCTCCAGAGTCTTTGGGGCCTGATTACAGCAGGGATAACAAGAGAGGCCCCAGATCAGGGAAAAAAATGGATGTGAAGTGGGCAGTAAAGCAAATAAAATGACCCCAATGTCCTACAGACACCTTCCTGGCAAGGCTGGCCCCCTCAAGACACCCACAGGATCCAGGATTCACAAAACACTCTGGGCAGGTGAGTAAGTAAATAATTAGCCTTCCACAAACATGTTCATTAGACATGCCTGTCCCGCGCTCGGCCTCGCCAGCAAGAACGACACGGGGCACTTAGGATTCTTCTGCAGTAAAGCTTTAATGCCTCTTGAGAGGGAGAGCATCAGCTTCCAAAGCGGAGACCCAGAATGAGGGGAACCCAGCCCTTATAAAGGAAACAGTCCTTGCTTCTGACGTGTCACTCTTGGATTGGTCCGCTGCCCATTATCCCAGGTGATGCCTCGGAAGTAGGCAGGGACGCAGCAGTAGAGAGTTACCAAGCACAGGCGCTGGGATTAAAGGCGTGTGCTACAACACCTTGAACTCACAGAGATGTGCCTGTCTCTGCCTCCCAGGCATTGGAACCAAAGGCGTGTACTACCACACCTTGAGGTCACAGAGGTCAATCTGCCTCTGCCTCCCAGGCATCAGGACTAAAGGCGTACCACCACACCTTGAGGTCACAGAGGTCAATCTCTACCTTTGTCTCTTGAAGCAATGGAGAATGTGGTTGCGGCCCTCCACACATGCCTGGTTTTAGTAAACTAGGGTGGAGGGGTATAATGCCCATAGTGTGGAAACAAGTAACACTTCAAATTGGATTTCTTTTTTAACCCTTTGGTTTTTATCTTTAGCCTGGCCAGAGGGGTGCTTTTAGCCCATATGATGCCTTTTGGTTAGTTGTACCAGTGAGAAAAAGGGATGGCTACCATGCTGGCCAGAAATCAAGAAATTTGCATGATATCTGAAGCATCCCATTTCCTTGGCCCAGGTAACTGAGTTTATACTAGCTCCCCAGACCAGGTTCCGGTTCCTGGTCCATCACATCCAGGATAATGCTGGATTTCCCCCTTTTATTTGTTTTGTTTTGTAGCATGCCAACAAGAACACAGCCTTGAGGCCATTTACCAGGAGTGATTATTTGTTTTATACACTCTCAAACAGAGAACATCTGTCTAGCCAAGGAGGACTGTGTAATGACATAATGATTTCCACATTTAGGGTAGCTTCTGTTGGTCTAGGTTTTCTTTTCCTTCCTGCACTGTGTTCGGCTCAGTCACCTGCACAGTGTACTGATCCAACAGGTTATGATGCCATGTAAACAGAACTTAAACAAGTTTAGTTCATGTGATCAAGTTTGCAAATCAAATGCTTTCCCCCCTTTTTATTTTTTTATGTGTATGGGTGTTTTGCCTGCATGTTTGTCTTAGTTAGGGTTTCTATTGCTAGACAAAATACCGTAACCACAAAGCAACTTGCAGAGGAAAGGAAAGAGTTTATTCAGCTTAATGCTGCCACATCCTAGTTCATCAAAGGAGGCCAAGATAGGAATTCTAGTAGGATGGGAACTTGGAGCCAGGAGCTGATGTAGAGGCCATGGAGGGTTGCTGCGGCCTGGCTTTCTTATGGCTTGCTTAGCCTACATTCTAATAGAACACAGGACCTCCATTCCAGGGATGGCCCCACCCACAGTGGGCTGGGCCTTCCCCCATCAATTACTAATTAAGAAAATGCCTTACAGGCGAATCTTTTAAAATTTTTAATAATTTATTTGTACTTTATGTGCATTGATGCTTCGCTTGCATGTGTACCTGTGTGAGGGTGCTGGATTCCCTGGAATTGGAGTTACAGACAATTGTGAGCTGCCATGTGGAACCTGAGAATTGAACTCGGGTCCTCAGGAAGATCAACTTAATTACTGAGCAATCTCTCCAGCCCCCTTATAGCTTAATCTTTTGGGAGCATTTTCTCAATTAAGGTTCCCCCTCCTTTCAGATAACTCTAGTTTGTGTGTCCAGTTGACCTAAGTTGACATTGTGCCAGCACAACGTGTCTGCACTATGGTGCATGCAGTGCTTACAGAGGCCAGAAGGGTGTTGGATCCTGACTGGAACTGGAGTTACAGATGGTTTTGAGCCACCATGTTGGTACTGAGAGTTAAACTCAGATCCTCTAGAAGAACAGTCAGTACTTTTACACAAATGGAATCATCTCTCTAGCCCCCAGAAATACCTTTTAGGGGAGATGGGTTTTCTTAAATGCTATAGTTCTGGAGCTACAGTTCAGACTTTTTGTTTTAATTTCCTAAAACCAATTACAGAAGAGCAAAGCACGCTGGATTATTTTCTGACAAATGGGTTTGCCAAAGCTACGGTTTTGCTAGGAAGAGAATTCAGTGATTCATTGGGCTGCCGCTTATATTCCCAGCTGCTTTTGTTGGAATGGGTGTATGGCATGATTCTGTGTCCTTCCTTTCTGTCTGATTTGATGCTTTGTTTTGGAGGTGAGTTAAGTTCCTTCAGTTTGGCTATCAAGTCACTTGCCCTTCATTTTTCCTGTGTCTTCTGTCTCTTAAATGGACACTTATTGGGTTTAAAGCCCACTTAGACAGTCTAGATGCCCTTATCTGGTGATATGTAATTAAGTTACATCTGCAAAAGACTTTTCCTAGTAAAGGCCTGTTTCCTCTCTTTTTTTCCCCATGAGGAGCCAGTCTACATTGGTTCTTCATTTTCCTTTTTCAGGGAATGGCTGCTCTGCAGATATAATTGCCGGATAAACTGAATTTTGCTCTTTCAAGTATTGCCATGTTGTTGAACATTCTGACTTTGCCAAATGAGCCTGTTGGAGGTTAATGAATGCTGATTTGTTTTCTTTCATTTTGTTGAGACAGGGCTTCACTCTGTAGCTAAGACTGTTCCTGCACTGGAACTTATACTGTAGCCAGGCTGATATTGAACTCTTGGCAAATTCTCCTGAGGTCTCAGCCTCCAGAGCCACCATGCATGTCCAGCCAGTTAGTTCATGGTGCCAAGCTCTACTTTGAGGGACGAGCTGTGAGGTGGGGCAGGATGGAGAGAGGAAATACTAACAACCCAGTAGTTCCCTCTGTTGGGATTGTTTTTGCTGTTTACGAGTTTGTTACTGGATGTCATTTTTTAATTTTTATTTTTTTATATCAGTTTCCTTTTGTAAACATCCAGAAAATAAAACAAAAATTCTTATTGTTAATGAAGCTCATCAGTAATTGGTACGCATCCCCTTGCTAGGACTATGTGTTCCCATTAATATATTTAGCCGAAAATGGAACCTCATTCTTTTGAAATCTTTAGTTTCATTGCATGGTTATTTCTCTGTGTCTTTGGTATACCTATTTGTGGTCATTCCTTGCGTTCTTTTCGGGTAGCCGGGTGTTCTTTGTAGCCTTTCCATACAGGGCGGAGAATGTTTAGACTTTCTTGTAAGTCATCAGATCATGTCACTTTAGCTTTTCTTACTTTTTATTTAATTAATTTAATTCTTTTAATTTAAATTTCATTTTATTTATTTAATTAATTTATTTAGTTTATTTCATTTGAATGTTTGTGGTGCTGGGGATGGAACCTAGGGCCCCAGCCATACTGGACAAGTACTCTACTACTGAACTCACACTTCGGCCTTTAGCTTTTCTTCTGGACACCTTTTTTCTAATCACCTCCCCTTATTTCCTGTCTTCCAGCTGATGGTGAGGCCATTCTGAAAGGCCTTCAGTCCATTTTTCAGGAGCAGGGGATGACAGAGTCAGTGCACACCTGGCAGGACCATGGCTATTTAGCAACCTACACGAACAAAAACGGCAGGTAAGGTGATCTCACGGGCTTTAGATGAAAACAAAGTTGGGTCTAGGGGATGATATCCAAGCTTTTTTTTTTTTGTCATTTGACAATTTTAGAGGGGGCTAAAATTTGGGGCTTTTACAACCTTTTCATGCCCAGGCATTTCCCCCAGAGCAGAAGACCATTGGACCTGGACCTCTGTATTTCTTTAAAACCCTAGTGATTCTTCTATGTGACTAGGACCAAAACAAGACACCTGGCAACAGAAACAGTATGATATTTGACAGGCAATGATGTGGAGTTGGTTAAAACAGATTTCTGGATACCACCCCCCCCCACACACACATACACCTCAGAGTTTCTGCTGCAGTGGTTCTGGGTCAGAGTCTCCTCCTCCCCTGTTGCATTTCCAACAAGGCCCGGGTTGCATTGTTGCTGCTGCTGCTGGCTAGAGCATTGTTAAAAGAGATTATTTTTAAAGACCATAGTAAAACACAGGATGGGAACAAGTCTGGCTCAGGAAGGTGAATATCATGTGTTTTTTCTTATGGAAATTGCATTTACAATTACATGTGTGTGTGTGTGTTTATGTTTGTCAGTCATGAAACTAGAAAGGGTATCATGAGAAAGGAGGAAGAGATCCAAGAGGTTGGAAATGGAAGGTTACAAGAAATCATAGGAGAGGACTAACAGGGTAGAGGGTAAGGGGGGTGGGGGATGCTTCTCAAAGGTAAGCCAAGCCCAGACTCATATTTTGCCTTTGTGGCCAGTCTTTGTGTATGTGTTTAGCAGTTGCCTTAGGTATATCTGCAGTGATAACTTCTTCCTTTAGGGTGCCCTAAATTCAGTAGAACCACAGCCTTCTTCAACTCTCTCCTGTGCTCTGCTTCAGTTACCTAAGAGGCTTCCAAAAACAGAGGCCTTGAGCTCTGCTCCAGCACAGTGTCTCATGTAGGCCTATACTCAGTCTCTTTGTCATGTACCCTCACTCTGTTTTTCCTGTGGTTTTTTTTTTTTTTTTTTTTTTGGTGGATCAGAACATGCTGCCTGATGGGTTCCTTCACCCAAAGGTGAAAAATTCCCAGTCTTAGCCACCTCCCAAGCCTCTGTAACAAAGCTTTACCTATCTGTTTTTTTTTTTTTTTGAGGGCTGGGCTGTGGTGGCACACACCTTTAATCCCAGCACTTGGGAGGCAGAGGCAGGTGAATCCCTGTGAGTTCGAGACCAGCCTGGTCTACAAGAACTAGTTCCAGGACAGCTAGAATTGTTACACAGGGAAACCCTCTCGAAAACCAAAAAAAAAAAAAAAAAAAAAAAAAGTCTGCAAGAGCTAGTTTCAGGACACAGAACACAGAACAGTTCAGGACACAGGACACAGAAACTGTGTAATAGTTTCCTATTACACAGGGAAACCCTGCCTCCTAAATAAATAAATAAAATTATTTTTCTGCGTTTGGATATTTTACATACATGTATGTCTTTCCACCATTTGTGTGTAATGCCTGAGGCCATATGGTTTTGAGTTGCCTTGTGGGTGCTGGGAATTGAACCCAGGTCCTCTGGAAGAGCAAACAGTGTTTTTTTTAATCTTTCCAGTCACAATTCCATTTGTATACAAAGCCCTTAGAATTATTCTTTCTCCAGAAGGGATCTTTTGAGTGACAGGAATTGTTCAGAACTTGCTTCTGAAAGCAAAATGAAAGAATGTGTGGGAGGATGGGGAAATATGTTTCAGGACTGAATAATACCTTCAGGTGAGTCCCTGAGGCCAATTCTAAAAAAAGGAGACCAATGTGGAAAGTAAGTTGTTGTTATTATTTTGTTTTTTCGAGACGGTTTTCTCTGTATAATAGCCCTGGTTGTCCTAGAACTCTTTCTGTAGACCAGGGTGGCCTTGAACTCATAGAGCTCCACCCATCCCTGCCTCCTGCGTGCTGTGTGCTATAATTAAAGCCGTGTGCCAGCGCTACCAGGTAGAAAGTAAGTGTTTAGATTAAAATAGATTAAAATACTCGTAACGGTTGCTTCCCTTTTGTATGTAAACAACTCTTTCAAAAGTTACACCATTCTTAGCCTTCCAGTTAGCATTGAACATTGTAGGTTAGTTGGGAGAGCCCAGTTTGCCCTTCCCAATCTTCCCTTTCTCCTGATTAATTCAATCTGACAGAATCTCCTGGGGACCCTTTGTAAAAATCAAGTGCCAGAGGCAGTTCAAGCCAGACAAAATTCCAGCACTGGAGAAGGGTAAGTGGGCACAAAGTGTTAACCCTAGTTAGCCAAGAAGCTGGTAGAAGGTAACAGGATTTCTTTCAATGGGATCACACTGGGTATATCATCTATACTCCAGGACAGGCCTCATGCTCAGGAAAACCAAAAACAGAACTAAAAATCACATGCTTACAGGGAATGAGATAGCCCAGCTGGTTAAGTGTTTGCCTTGTGAGGATCTGTTTCCCCATGTGAACCTATGTGTAAAAGCAGGGTGGTATGTACTTGTAATTTCAGTGTTTGGGAGGTGACCTAGGACTCCTGGCCAATCCCTCCCCCCACATACACATGCACAAAGTCAGATTCATAGACTAAATCACTTTATAGACTTAGGTAATATGAATCAGTCATAGACTTAGATCAATTTCAGGCCCAAGAAGTAAAATTAAAAGCTTAGTATTTGGCCCTGTTTCTAAATCTTCTACAGGTGACCATGTCTCACTTTTCACCTCTGAATTGGAATTGAAAAGAAGGCTAGAGAATTAACTTCGATATTGAAGGAAAAAAGAACTGCCTTTTAGTCTTGATTGGGACTGCATCTTTTCTCTTTGAAGTGCCCTGATAACAGTTTCTTACAGCAAAACTACACTTTCTTTTGTAGCTTTGCCAATTTGAGGATTTATCCCCATGGATTGGTGCTGCTGGACCTTCAGAGTTACGACACTGATGCACAAGGCAAACAAGAAACTGACAGGGTTGGTTTTCAATTTTCTTACCCCTTTCAAAATGTGGTGCATTTTATTTCCCCATATTTAAAGTTCTTAAAGTCTGCTTAGCCTCATGAATGTTGATTTTTAGGTTAGCTAAAATTTAAACTTGCCTCCTTCATGTAAGTAGTTTGACAGAAGAATTAATCTTCAGATGATTTGGAAACCTAGCTGTTAGCCTTCCTGTTAACTTCCTGAATGCAAAGAATGCGTTTCACTTCCTGCTGGAGGGAATGTAGAGCCTTCTCGTACAGTTTTGCACCTGCAGTTTTCTTTAGCATTCTGCCCCATTATTCTCTTGGGAATATTCAGAATGTGTTTAGGACTGCATCATGAGAGAGAGTTACCGTGGGAGTGTGGAATTGGGCCAGGAAGTCCTGGTAGGCATATGGGGGCTTGTGTATGGGCCAGTATCACACTGTGCTCAGCATAGCCTTATGCCTGTGCACTTTATATTCTAAGCTCACTGATTTCTTTTAATTGTAGCTTTTGAACAAAATAGAAGAAAAAATGAAAGAACTGAGTCAGGACAGTACTGGGCGAGTGAAGCGGTAAGTCCACCTACTCATGAATGTCCTTTTAATATTTGTTTAATTGGCAAAATAATCAGAATGGCAGTGTTGATCTTAGTGTCTGCAGAAGATAAGGAGAAGATCAAAGTCAAATGTCTGCTACTGCCTTACACGGTGAACTGAACCATCCACTCATCCCATCGCAAACAGGACAAAATATGTAAAAAGAAACAGGACGGGGGTGGGGCGGTAGTGTTGTTGTTGGTGGTGGTAGTGGTGTTGGTACCAATAACGAGGCAGAAAGATGATACTGAGTAATTGCAATAAGAAAGCAGAAAGCCAGGTACAGACAGTCATGGAGGGAATTTACCCAGATCACTGATGATCAGAATATAGAATACTGTTTTCTTTATCTTAGAGCAGATTTCTGAGTAGGAAAATCTTGTTGGCAAAGGTAGGATATTTAAGTTCTTAATAACTCAATCTGTGGAGTTTGATCAGCCCATAGGAAAGCTCCAGGGCAGATGTAGTTAGGTGGGGAAGAGCAATGGGATGCCTGAGAGTACTGAAAGAACCAATCCCCATGTAAAACTTGTGCATATTTGAGATCTGAGGATAACAGGTTTTTTTTAAATCCCACCCAAGTTCAGTTGAGTAATCCTTGACTCTGTCCACACCCACAGTACTTTCTGGACTTCATCTTTGTCTTGCTTGCAAGTTTCCTTTCCGTCCATATGAATTTAACATGCCAAGTTTCAATTCAATCCTCAGAACATTGGGTAGAAGGAGAAACCTGACTTGTGCACAAGCAGTTTTCTTCTGACCTTCCCAATCATGTGTACAGACACAAACACACAATTGTTTAGAAAAAATGTGTTTTTTGTGTGTACAGACTCAAACACACAAATTTTAAGCAAAAGAATGTATTTCTGGCCTTCAGTATTTACGAGAACTCTGGTTGGTGGAGAAGTTTTCTAAGTGAGACTGGTCACAAGCTTTTAGATTTTTATATCAAAACCTAGACCTTGTTTTTGTTTGTCATTGTTTTTAACATCTTTTTTTTATAGAATAAGGGTGGAAAGAATGAGTTTAGATTGCCTTGTTGTAAACGCTTAGTCATTATCCCATTCACCTTTAGAGGAAAAGGGTACTTACACTTTCTGTGTGGGAAGTGACACTCACTGAGAGAGAGGAAATTAAGAACAGATAATTTGGTAATGTTATCTGAAATTCTTATTCCCTTTTCAGTAGTGGTTATTGAATAAGAAGTTTTAACTGAGAAGCATTGGGATTTCTATAAAGACTTGTCTTGTGTTTTCCTTTTTTATCTATTTATTTTATTTTATTTAAAAAAACCTATCTTTTTTCATTTTACATACCAATCCAAGTTCCCACTCCCTCCCCTTCTCCCATTCCCTCCACACACCCTCCCATACCACCCCCCAATCCACTACTCAGATAGGGTAAGGCACATTGCTTTGAGGAAGGTCCAAGACCCTCCCTTCCATATCTAGGCTGAGCAAAGTATCCATCCAGAGAGAATGGGTTTCAAAAAGCCAGTACAAGCAGTAGGGATAAATTCTGGTGCCACTGCCAGTAGCCCCTCAATCTGCCTCAGCCGTATAACTGTCACCCACATTTAGAGGGCCTAGTTTGGTCCTATGCTGGTTCCTTCTCTGTCTGGCCAGAGTTGGTGAGTTCCCGTTAGCTTAGGTAAGACCCATCATGGTCTTGACCTTTTTGCTCATATTCTCACTTCTCCCACTTTTCGACTGAAATTTGGGAGCTCAGCCCAGTGCGCTTCTCTGTGGCTCTCTGCATCTGCTTCCATCAGTTGCTGGGTGAAGGTTCTATGGTAACATTAAGATAGTCATCAATCTGAGTACAGGCCAGTTCGGGCACCCTCTCCACTCTTGCTTAGGTTCTTAGCTGGGGTCATCCTTGGGTTCCTGGGAATTTTTCTAGTGCCAGGTTTCTTGCTAACCATATAATGGCTCTCTCAATCAAGATATCTCTTTTCTTGCTCTCCCTCTCTGTCCTTCCCCCATCTCACCTATCCTGTTCCTTCAAGCTCTCCTCCCCCTTCTCCCACTCTCCTCCCCCTCTCTCCTCCCTTCTCCCCCACCCCCATGTTCTCAATTTTGTCAGGAGATCTTGTCTATTTCCCCTTCCCAGGTTGATCTATATATGTTTCTCTTAGGGTTCCCCTTGTTACTTAGCTTCTCTAGGGTCGTGGACTCTAGGTTTGTTATCCTTTGCTTCACAGCTACTATCCACCTATGAGTGAGTACATACCATGTTCATCATTCTGGGTCTGGGTTACCTCACTCAGGATGGTTTCTTCTAGTTCCATCCATTTGCGTGCAAATTTCAAGATGTCCTTGTTTTGTTTTTGATTTGTTTTTTTAACCACTGAATAGTAAGTACTCTATTGTGTAAATGTAGCACATTTTCTTTATCCATTTTTTGGTTGAGGGGCCTCTAGGTTGTTTCCAGGTTCTGGCTATTAAAATAATGCTGCTATGAACATAGTCAAATAAATATCCTTGTATTATGATTAAGCATCCTTTGGGTATATGCCCAAAGGTGGTATTGCTGGGTCTTGAGGTAGGTTGATTCCCAATTTTCTGAGAAAACGCCATACTGATTTCCAGAGTAGTTATATAACTTTGCATTCCTACCAGCAATGGAGGAGTGTTCCTCTTACTCTGACTCCTCTCCAGCATAAGCTATTATTGGTGTTTTTGATCTTAGTCGTTCTGACAGGTATAAGATGGTATATGAGAGTTATTTTGATTTGCATTTCCCTGATGGCTAAGAATGTTGAACATTTCCTTAAGTGTATTTTAGTCATTTGAGATTCTTCTGTTGAGGATTCTCTGTTTAGATCTGTATCCCATTTTAAAATTGAATTATTTGCTATTGTGATGTCCAATTTCTTCAGTTCTTTATATTTTGGAGATGAGCCCTGTCAGATGTGGGGTTGGTAATCTTTTCCCATTCAGTAGGCTGCATTTTTGTCTTATTGACTATGTCCTTTGCTTTACAGAAGCTTCTCAGTTTCAGGAGGTCCCATTTATTAATTGTTGCTCTCAGTGTCTATGCTACTGGGGTTATATTTAGGAAGTGGTCTCCTGTGCCCATGCATTGAAGGTTACTTCCCACTTTCTCTTCTATCAGGTTCAGTGTGGTTTGATTTATATTGAGATCTTTAATTCATTTGGACTTGTTTTGTGCGTGGGAATAGACATGGATCTATTTGCATTCTTCTACATGTTGACATCCAGTTATGCCAACACCATTTGTTGAAGATGTTTTCTTTTTTCCATTGTATAATTTTGGCTTTGTCAAAAATCAGGTGTTCATAGGTGTGTGGATTAATATCTGAGTCTTAGATTTGATTCCATTGGTTAACGTCTCTTTATGCCAATACCAGTCTGTTTTCATTACTGTAGCTCTATAGTAGAGCTCGATGTCAGGGATGGTGATCCCTCTGCCTTTATTGTACAGGATTGTTTTGGCTATCCTGGGTTTTTTGTTTTTCCATATGAAGTTGAGTATTGTTCTTTCAAAGTCTGTGAAGAATTGTGTCAGAATTTTGATGGAGTTTGCATTGAATAATCTATAGATTGCTTTTGGTAGGATTGCCACTTTTATTGTGTTGATCCTTCCTATCCAAGGGCATGGGCGATCTTTCCATTTTCTGGTATTCTCTTCAGTTTCTTTCTTCAAAGACTTTAAAGTTCTTGTCGAACAGGTCTTTCACTTTTTTGTTTAGTGTTACCCCAAGTATTTTATGCTATTTTTGGCTATTGTGAAGGGTGATGTTTCTCTGATTTCTTTCTTTTTTCTTTTCTTTTTTTCTTTTTTTTTTTTTTTACTTTTGAGACAGGGTTTCTCCGTAGCTTTTTGTGCCTGTTCTGGAACTAGCTCTTATAGACCAGGCTGGCCTCTAACTCACAGAGATCCGCCTGCCTCTGCCTCCTGAGTGCTAGGATTAAAGGTGTGCACCACCACTACCCAGCTTTAAAGCAATTTTTTTTTTTTGGTTTTTCAAGACAGGGTTTCTCTGTCTAGCTTTGGAGCCTGTTCTGGAACACGTTCTTGTAGACCAGCCTGGCCTCGAACTCACTGATATCCACCTGTCTCTGCCTCCCGAGTGCTGGGATTAAAGGCGTGCACCATCCCCCCCCCATTTCTCTGATTTCTTTCTTGACTCCTTTATCATTTGTTTTTGAGTTGATCTTGCATCCTGCCAGATTACTGAAGGTATTTATCAACTGTAGAAGTTTCTTAGTAAAGTTTTTGGGATTATTTATGTATACTATCATATCATCTGCAAATAACGAAAGTTTGACTTCTTCCTTTCCTATTTGAATCCCCTTTATCTCCTTTTGTTCTATTGCTCTAGCTAGAACTTCAAGAACTATGTTAAGTAGATATGGAGAGAGTGGACAGCCTTGTCTTGTTCCTGATTTTAGTGGAATGGCTTTGAATTTTTCTCCATTTAATTTGATGTTGGCTGTTGGCTTTCTGTATATTGCTTTTATTGTGTTTCTTGTATCCATGATCTCGCCAAGACCTTTATTAAGAGAAGGGGTGTTGGATTTTGTCAATCTTTTTCAGCATTTAATGAGATGATCATATGTTTTTTTTTCTTTCTATTTACTTATATGGTACATTACATTGATAGATTTTTATATGTTGAACCATTCCTGCATCTCTGGAATGAAGCCAATTTGATCACAGTGAATGATTTTTTTGATGCGTTTGGATGATTTTTTTGATGTGTTCTTGGATTCGGTTTGCCAGTATTTTATTGAGTATTTTTGCATCCATGTTCATGAGGGGGATGGTATGTAATTTTCTTTCTAGGTTGAGCTTTTGTGTGGTTTTGGTGTGAGGGTAACTGTAGCATCATAAAATGAGTTTGGCAATGTTTCTTCTGTTTTTATTATGCGAAACAATTTGAGGAGTATAGATATTAGCTCTTCTTGGAAGTTCTGGTAGAATTCTGTACTGAAACCATCCTGCCTTGG